TGGACACCAAGTGGAGGGTCACCAGTAGTAGGCTTTTGTTCCCACCTACCACTCTTTAAATTGCACACCTCCACTACAGAGCACATTGCTTTCTTCTTCTCATCAGTTACTGTGCACTTCAGGAAAATCAGACTGCCTCCCACCCCACATGTACAAGCTGTCGTCTACCTGTACAGTAAAGTGATGGGCCCTCTCCACTGGTTGATACACTATAAAATAAAGCAACAAGAAAATAAGCAAAATGAGAAAAACTATCATTCTTACATGTACAATGTACCTGACATTTCCCAAGTTTACCGCATCATCTCTATTTGTTAAAGAGTGCTGTTACTCCGCCCATTTTTTGGCCCTTTGTCTTTTTCTAAATTCTAATTTTCTATCATACATACACAGCCACTGACAGCCAAGAATTTGAATCACAGCCCTGTATCATGGATTTTGGGCAGCCTGCACAGCAATGAGTCTAGCATGATACAATCATGACATCCATGATACAACCATGCTGGAGTACGGCCTTGGTTCAGCCAGAGTAGAATAGTCTCGACCAGAGTAACAGACATGATTCAACATTGATGCCAGTTAGGACTGTATCAAAATAGACACCAGGCTTCAATCACTGATTTTGGGTAGTGGCCTGTATCAGAGATGATAATTCTTCGCTGTATAGATTAGAGCATGAATAGAGTCATCCAGGCTCAGTCATGTCCCTCCAGTGCTGTATATCCATCTTTGGCGTAATTCATTCTCACCCGGAAGATTGAAAGAGGTCTATTTTAGATTTTCCCATGCTATTTGCTGGGAGGACACTATAAATAGGGTCTCCACAAGAAAATTTGAACTTTCAAAGAAGCCTATGATTGTATTTTTTCCCAAAAGAGAACTTGATCCTGAGCTATTTCAAGAAATTTCACTCCTTAAAACAGTTTCCTCGACATAATAAAAATATTTTATTGTCTTACAACATGGGGTTAATTAAATTATTAATTAAAGTTAATTAAAGTTGAAATTAATTATTTTTTCCGTGCTCGGCGCAAGGTGTTCTCATTGTGTTCTGGTGTCTACATTTAAAGATCAAGCCTTTCTCAAAATTCTCAGTAATTGGTAAGCATTTAAATGTTATTATATTAATTGTAGGATTATTTCTTTATTGAATGCCAAATTTGAAAAAAATAATGGCCACCATAAAAAATTAATTGCGCTTTACTTGCTGCGCGAAGACAGAGCCTCACTAGGTTTTTGTTAATAGCATGAAGTCTTTAGTAAATGCACAGACTTTGGTTTGAATCAATTGTGTTCAACCATCTGTGTATTCACAAAATATGACTACCCACCCATTTTGATTGCCTCAGGGGATTACTGTGGCAACATATTAATGCAATTTAATTTTTTTACTTGTAGGATTTTTCTACATACAATAATGGCATGTGGAGGTATGTTATGATTCAAAATACACATTATGACAATGATGTATAAAACCGATTAAATTTTTCTTGCATATATAGTTTCTATGTACCCAACTTATGGAGAACTCATAGATCTTTATGATGATGTTGAAAAGAAGAGCCCTGGAAATGTCACTTTACTTACGTCTATGTTTCACCAATTGTATCCAAATGTACCTATTGGTCGTCCTGCTAGATTCTTTGAAACTGTCCAACGGATAAGGAGTGCAACAAAAGCATCTTTAAGGGGAGAATCAATGCTGACAGGCTCCCCATTATCTACATATAGAAGACGTGTTTGGAAGCCACGAATAAGAAACTGTAACAGCGAAGGTATTATTATTATTATCATACTATACTATACTATTATTATTATTTATTACTATTATAGTCAGCAGTATCTTTCCTGTTGGATTACTAAGATACGGTCTAGATGAAGACATGTTTCAATCTACCAATCTTCCAGACATAGCATGGCATTTGAGTTCAACACCCAGGGTGGAGTTTTACAGATTATTACACCCATATCTCAAAAGAAAATATAAAACTACATCTATTTCAACTATTGGTAAATTTTACATCAATATTGATCCTAATTTAAAAAATAAAGGGGGAAGAGCAGACAACATATATAGATTCATAGAAAATCTTGTAGCATCAAAGCACTTACCTTGTGATGCAATCGTCGACTATGGATTTGAGAGAGAACAAAGAAGAAAGATTACGGATTTAAAGATTAAATTGCAGGAGTGTGATGAGAAATTAACGAAAGTAACTTCAGAATGCCATCAGTTAAAAGAAAATATTAAACTTTCTTCAAGTCAGTTTCAGGCCACAGAAAATGCTTTGAGAGAAGAAAATCGCTACCTATCTAGACATCGTGATAAACAGGTGGTAAGGCTGAAAAGAAAATGTTCTTTGTTGCGACATGAAAACATGCAACTACAATCTGATGCTTTGTATCTTTTGGATAAAGAAGGAGAAAATGAAGAAGAGGATGATGAAGAGGATGAAGTGCTAGAAAAAAATGACAATGGAAAAGAAAAGCAGGAGATTACAGGAAGTTTTACAGAGCAAAAAATTAATAACAGATATACTCCAGAAATACGGAAGCTATACTATTCATTGCTTGCAAATCAAGTTCCTGCATCAAAAATTGAAACAATTGTCAAAGATGTTCTCAGATGCTTTCATCCAACATTAGATGTTACAAAAGTTGATCTACCAAAGAGGTCATGTGCAAGTTACATGCGTCGTGAGGAATTAAAAACTATAAGTAATGCACATAAAGCGACAGTTTTAGTGGACAGAGACAAAATTCATTTAAACTCTGATGGAACAATCAAGAACCAAAAAAAGATTGGAGGAGTTGTTGCAAATGATATGGTAGTGTCATTAAATGAATTACCTGATGGATCTGCCTTAAGTGCAATACAAGATATTGATAGCGAATTCAAGAAATTAAGGGAAACAGCTCATTTGCTCAAGCTACCTAATCCAGACTCAATCAACTGGACTTTGGTAGCATCATCTACATCAGACTCAGCAGCAACACAGAAAAAGATGAACAAACTGATTGAGGAATTTAGAATGAACGACGAAGAAAATTTTGGAAATGCAACAGCAGACACCAATGACCTTATAGAAAATTTCTGTTCAATGCATTTGGGAGTGAACTTAAGGAAGGCATTTCTAAATGGAATAAATGGTGAAGAGGAATGCAATGAAGTTAGAAAGCAGCATAGTGTGGATGTATTAGTCCATGAATTTTGCAAGTTATTTGGCCAGCATGGTGTACCTGAGTACACTTTAGGAGCACAATTCATTGATTTTCTAAATATAATGGCTACCACATCTACTGCACCTGATGATGTAAAATACTATCAAGCTTGTTTAAAAGTCACTTTACATCGACAAGTTGGGTGTCGTTACTTTGTGTCAGCTGCCAATGGGTGCAAAATCTTATTTCTTAAAAATGCTGCTGTGGAATTTTTCAGATACACTGGCAAAAACAGTGGCAATAGACTTGAACAAGCAGTATTTCGTAAATTACATAATTCTAATGAATTGTGTCACTTACTCGTAGACAGTCTAATGTATTACCACATATATGCAGATCTATTTATGTTATCGAAGTCTACTGATCTTGATCTCTCAGCTTTTGACATGAACCAACATTACTTTGAATTACAAGTATTTTTGGCAGAAGTAATACAGAATCCTGACATTGCTATCAACAGAGATCATCAGGTATTTTCATCCGAAGCTAGGTTATATGGTCAAAATCATAAAACAAATCATCGCCTTGGTTCTTCATCTGTTTACACCAATTTATTTGAACTATCCATTTCTAGCATAGCTGCGATTTGTCCATTAATAGTTGCTGGTGCTGAAAAAATGAGAGATAAGCTCTATTCATATGCACAAAAGCAATTGCCAGGTGGACCTTATTGGGATCCTGATCCAGAAGTCAAAGAAGTTCTTTGTCAACTAAAACCGAGTAATGATGTTTGTGAGTCAGTACTGGGACTGAACGACTACTTAACTACAGCGATACCTAACTTGCATCAATTATCACGCTCAAATTTAGTAGAAGTAAAAAGAAATAAGACTCTCAAGTGGTTATCAGACATTCCTGAAGAAGACCAGCACAAGGTCATAGATATTGCTGTAAAGCAAAGAAAGCAGGTATTACAAGACTCCAAGAAAAGAGAAAAAGAATTAGCTCAGGAACGAAGAGATAAAATTGTACAAGATCATCGTAAAAGAAAAGCTGTAGAGAAGAAAGTGCATAAGGAAAAGGAGGAGCTTTTGGAGTTACATCTTATGACATCATCAGAAGAACTTTCTCAGGCCATAGATGAAATTGAAAGTGAAGGTGGAAGTATGACAAAATTAAGAACTAAAATACTTTCACTTCTCAGAACACAAGTCAGTATTAGAAAGAAAATCTTGAATGAAACAGTTTCAATTACATTTACCAAAGGTGGTAAGCAGAAACCATTACAACAGATCATTCAAGAGGTTGCTGATTTTATTGATAATAGTACAGCTAAGTCTAAATATGTCTCATTTATTAAAAATCCTAAAAGTTTAGTTGGAAAACATGTACGGCACAAGTTCGATGATGATGGAGGGATGAAATGGTACTTTGGGTATGTGACTGATTACTGTGAAAGTTCTAAAAGACATGAGATTGTTTATGAAGATGATGATGACAGTAGGTACTCTTTTGATTTATTAATAGATTTACTGAATGGGGACCTACAATTGCTGAAATAAGTTTAGTTGTGTTCACATTTATACTTTACTATGGACAAATTTATTGTTACACTATTATTGTTAGACTTTATAACATTTATACATGCAGTTCAAATCTTCAAATAAAATAATAATTATTTTAGTCTCTCTCTTTCTGCAGAATAGCAATCAAATCAGCTATGGTTCGACACATAGAATCAATTTTGCTCTGAAAATCTTGTACTTCCAATTTTAAATCACAAAAATTTCTTGTTAACTCATTAACTAGGTTTCTTAGCCGTATTACTTCCTTCTCGAGATTGCTCTCCTCAGATTTTTTAACGGCAAACTTTAAATCAGTATGAACACCTATATATTGAGTTATTATAAATTAGCACTACATGCAGGTACAACATTTACCTGAAATATTTTCTTCTGCTTGCATATTAGTCAAAATACCCTAAGTATGACAAAAAGTGGGACATGAGTTAACCTTATTGGTTTTTGCCAGTCTATGATGAGGTACTATATAGGTATAGTCTTGTGTAGCGGGAGGGGCTGGCTATATCAGACTACTATGCAGGTAATTATATTAGGTAAAACACTATAATGCAGCACCACACAGGTAAGTATGACAGCATACAGCTGCTACTGTATCATGTTATATGAATAATGAGCTTACAATAATACTAACTGTCAACAAGCATTCACAGGCAATGATTACAAAACAAAATGGCTGACGAATTACATTTTGTGAATACACAGATGGTTGAACACAATTGATTCAAACCAAAGTCTGTGCATTTACTAAAGACTTCATGCTATTAACAAAAACCTAGTGAGGCTCTGTCTTCGCGCAGCAAGTAAAGCGCAATTAATTTTTTATGGTGGCCATTATTTTTTTCAAATTTGGCATTCAATAAAGAAATAATCCTACAATTAATATAATAACATTTAAATGCTTACCAATTACTGAGAATTTTGAGAAAGGCTTGATCTTTAAATGTAGACACCAGAACACAATGAGGAAAAAATAATTAATTTCAACTTTAATTAGGCCACTCCAATTTGATTCCTTGTTTCCCATTACCCGCCCGCATGGGGCCGCATCGCTATTCATTATTGCGGTTTTTCATTGATTATACAAGCAATTTATACAGCTGATAATGAATAAATTTAATGAAAATGAACAAACCCGCCCGCCCGCATCAGGCCCGCCTCTGTAATGGGAAACTATGAATCTTATTGGAGTGGCCTTAACTTTAATTAATAAT